AACTTGACTCAAACAAGGGTATCTCTCGCTTACCCAGCGATAAAACTTCGGTACCCCCATTGCTACAGCTATTTACAATTTACAAACGATTAAAATATAAAATTAAGAGAACCTTGAAGGTTTTCTCTGTGTTATAAGTACCAATATTGCGGAGAAATAGCCAACTTAGTTAAAAACATTTTGATTATTTCAGAGAAAACCCGCACGTGCTTGCATGGTTCTGAGCATGCGCAACGACTACCGCTGACACAGTTGTAACACAGGGAACCCAATAACACTATTGCACCACACTGCATCATCTTAAAACATGCAACATTTATAATCATGTTATGCAGACCCCCGGTATCCCAGAAAAGTAATTGATAGATGTATCTAAATAATGTAGGATTATGATTTTTCAAAAAGACCTTACAATACACATTTAGCCCAAATAATAATCTCTTTAACTCAGTGTCAAAATGGCCGCCATTTTGCCTCATTTTTATTAATATGAAAATGGTAAAAAATATAACTTCCTTGAAGCAGAGTATCATCCTGATAATCTTCATTAAAAATCAGTATATGTTTTTTTTTTTTTTTTCATTTCTTTCTTTCTTTTTTAATGATCTCATTAATTTTCGACAGAAAAAATCTTGTTCGTATACCGCCTGGCATACATTTCTCTGTAAATTATCACGCAGAATTGAGCTTTTCAAATATTTCAGGTCCCATTCTGTCAAAAAGAAAAAAAAGAAAATAAGGATCTAATTATGCTAATAAACGTCGTCCATTTTGGAGCAATGAATTTTTTTTAAAATTCATTGGCAGTGAAATTAGAGATTGAAGCTTTATGCCACACACAGACCAAAAAAAAAAGCTTTTACGCGTCATATACCTGTATACGCAATGCATTGTACGAATTGTTGGTAATAAAACATGACAGATTATTTGTTTTCTCTAGAAACGGATCCCACGATGCATTGAAAATCAAGCAATGCCGGAGGTATATTTCCAAGCATTTTTTTATATGTATATAAAACAATGATGTTATTTAAGTGTAAAACAGGTACTTTAGAACTTCCCGTCATGTCTTTGCATAATGATTTTTAA